AATAGTCTAAGACCTTCAAGAGGTCATTATATTCAGCACCCATACCAAATGAGTGAAGCAACCCACATGAGGGACAGTGGTAACACGCTGTCTGAGCAATATGGGCATTTAAACCAGCACTTCATCTGACTGAAGGGCAAGGCTGAAAGCCAGGGCATCTGGGGATCTGTTGGGATGAAACTGTCTCCAAGGCTGTAGAGAACCCAGGAATATGACCAAAGTGATCTGACACAATGCTTTGCAGTGAACCAATGCCACACAAAATTAGATCAGTACCCACATATGTCCCCTGCTTGTGTGTCCGATGAAACAGGCACAGCCTTAGCAGTTAGTGTAAACACAGCCTCAGTTCACACGGAGGAGCACCCTCCTTGCAAGGTGTGGTGTCAGAAGCTAGCTGGGAAGCAGCCAGTAGGAGTGGAAACATCTGGTTCTTCTATCACACTTTCCTATCTGCCTCTCCAGGTCTCTCCTCTTCATTGCGTCTTCTCCTGGATGCCTCCTTCCTTCTTTAAGCTGGCAGGAGCAACAGGAAGAAAAGCAATGTCTTGCTGAATGCAAAGATAACACTGCTTATCATAGCATGAGATTACACTGATTGTCTGTAACTACCACCTGTGAACTGAAGCAGTGATGAGGTGTCCAGATTCCCGTTGCTGTGACCCTCATGTGCTCAAACTACTGTACATCTGTCACTGGTCACATTAGGTGGGTAGGAAGGCACAGTCTCTCTCTCTCAGAGAAAAGGAAGATGAGCTTGTTGGAAAGGATCGCAACCAGACTAAGCAGTGGACAAGATTGCACCAATCACAGTGCATTTCTCACCAAAATGCAGTAACATTATTAATACATAAATAAGTAAGGTGTCTACATTAAAACTAAAGCTTAATCAAGTATGAGAAGAAAATAAAATGTTACATTAAATCACAAGGTGTTTTTTAACATGATATTTATGCTACATAATTAGCTCTGTTTTTCTACAGGTCCCAATAGTGCAGGTAAGAATATAGTATCTATACAACCAGTCTTGATAATGAGACCAGAAAGGGGGAGGGAGGAAATTAAAAGGAGAACCCCTGACGTAAGGTGAGAGCAAGCCACTGAAAAATACGTTTTATGGGAGGCTTGTATGGAATACCAAAAATTCAAAGCTTGTCTCTCTTTTTTTTTTTTTCTTTTTTTTTTTTTTTTTTTGGAATTATAGTCCAGCCTGGTCAAAATAAGATCACTTCTGTGTATAGCTACTTTGTGACTACAGTTAGTATGACAGAGGCTGAGAGGTTCTGTTAGCATTGTCTTGAAAACAAACAAAAAAAGACAAATAATAATTGTATTTAACTCTTTTTTTTTTTATTAAGCTATTTAATCATTCAAAATTGTTTGTAATACCTTTCACTCCAGCCAGCTGACTAGGTTTTGTTCTGGCATTATTTGTGCAGACTTGGAAACCTTCACAGCCTTACAAGAAGCAACAGCACTCAATCATCAGTCACACCACAGCTAAATAATAACCTAACATACTGATCTATTCTTTCCTCACTGCAAAGTGCGATAAGAAAGTACAGTCTTACAACTTACTGCTGTTTCTCTTTTTGTGCAAGTAAAAACTGCCACCTAACTTACTCTCTGTTGATAATCCCAAAGTGTGATAGAAGTCTTTTTAGTAGAAGAGCTACGTTCTTTAACAGTAAATACATGAAAGTATAAATCTGAAATCATAGCCAAACTAAGAAAGTCTGTTTATGGTATCTTTGGTGTTATGTAGGAGAATTCAAGCAAATCTCCAATATATTTGAAAATACTTTGAACCTTCATATTACCAAATGTTAGGTCACCATAGTGGTGACATACAGTTAATATGTTATGTATCACCCCTTGGATTACTCCTCAAGTTTTTTATGTCACTGTAGGTCACTTCAGCATGTTGAACAGCCTCACCATGACATCAAGGTGGACAAAACTCAGACTTCAGCCAACGAGAGGAGGGAGGGAGCAGGTTTGCTGACATAAGCAGAGAGTAAATTGCTCCACATACCCCCAAATGTACCACCATCTGAAGCTCTGTTAGTAACCCCTGCACTCACCAAGGACACATTTTGTAAACCTGAGCTCTGCCTTTCAGTGGCAAAGTTGTTACTTTAAAAAGATTCTTTTAGGATACCTGGAGCAGAGATAATATCTGCTACATTTAAAAAATATTATAGTAAACCCTCTTGTATGTTTTAAATTACTAGATCTTTTAATTTGTTTTAAAGAATTTCTGACTCTCATTTCTTTTGCCTGGAATTCTGATTTTAATTCAGTAGATCACCCATTGCTTTGATTTCATAACTATATTATTATATAATTAATAGGAAGGGAGAAAACATTCTCTTTTTAAAGTAGACGGATGCTATTAGTAAGATTAAAAAAAAAAAAGGGAGAGGAAGCTGAAAAAATAAGTCAAATTGTATGCTGGATTGCCCAAGCACTGAAATTAAAGCACATGCAAATGTTGTCTTTTTAATATTGTTGTTTAACTCAATATATTAAATTTGGAGTTGTTTAATTGGTGAAGTGCTCCATAAATACAGGTCACCCTATAAATATTAAGAATCTTGGGATGGCATTGAGTTACAACTAGACAGGAATGTAGTTTTTTCCCTTTTTTTTTTTTTTTTTTGTTCTTAATGTCGTGCACCCTTTGCTCATGTATGTACACTTCTGGAGGAAAAAAAAAAGGAGAATGTGGTCAAGACATACAAATCCATTTGAAAACAGTGAGAAGCACTATCTGTGAGAAGCATATGACCAATGCCCATGGAAGATCTTTGTCTTTGAGGTTATTCAATTAATGTGAGGTTTTACTTTGGAATCAGAAGCCTCTAAACATTTAAGCACTGTGTAAGTCTAATTGCTTGAATATTCCAATCAAGTTCACTTGAACTAACAGCAATATTAAGAAATGGAGTTTGCTAAACACGAGCATATAGATCTCATGTAGGAGAAGAAAGAAGAAGAGTATACACAAATACTTCTGTTGGTCCCTTTAGGTGTTTCAACATGAATCACATCTAATTTATTGAGTCTTTAAATAAAAAATACAAAAAAAAAAAAGATAGATCATTACCTTAAAAGGAGAAAGAGCTCTAGAAATGAAACCTACATCAGAAGAAGGAACTAAAACATTATTAGTTACATGGAGGTAATGAGGATAAAGTACTAACATCAGGTGTTCTGGAGTTTAAAGCCTTCACTCTGAAGATGATAAACTAAAAGTCTCAGTATCTAGAGAAGCTGCTGCCAAAAACCTGGCAACTTCAGTTGTCTTTCTTAATGTAACAACTGAGTAGCAGAGCAAAGATTTATGTCTTTGCCTGCTTAGCACAAGCATTCTGTGAGCATTATAAAAACATAATAGTTTTTTGCTAGGGTTTTATGAGGGCCATTTCAATATCAACTACTACTCATCAAGGAAGAAACAGACAAATATTTCAAAAAGAAGAGTTGCTTTTGCTTAGATAAATTAGTAAGAAATTCATTAACTTTCCCTAAAATAAGTTTAAAAAAAAAAAGTTTAAATCTACATAAAATAAAAATGAAGGTATTGTGTATCCACAGAATTACTATTTTACTGAAGAAAAATATATTTAGAGTAAGATCTAGTTCCTTTCATGGAAAAACTGTTAACAATAAGAGATATGAATACAAACATTTTAACAGCAGTTGTGTTGCTGCAGCTGTAACAGTCGAAGGGTGTAATAGAGGAATCATTAGTAAGGAGATGCAATATCTTTTTATTAGGCTAACTGACACAGCTGTAAAACACTGAGAAATCTTGGACAAAGAACATGTAGCCCAGAAGAAAAGCAAATGCAGAAATATGGTAAATCAAGCATAGATGTCCTCCTCTATGAGGACATCCTCCATTGAGGCTGCCAATACTGGAAAGTTTCACCCCAGCCAAGGTTCAGACATTGCACAGCAAGGTGTGCCAATGGGAATCTAATTAAGTACAGCTGTGCCTATGTATGCTTACCACTTTAAAAGAAACATATTAGCCTATGAGAAGAGGTCATATTTCATCAGAGCTGGGACAATGAACTTCAGGGAATAAACTAGGAGAGATGTCATTCAAAGTGATTTGTTCTTCTGGAATTTTATTTATGACTACTATACTTAAAACCACATTGAAGTGCTGGCCAAAACCAGACTTAAATTTAAATTTGGATTAACCCTGACTAAAGTTTATCCTTAAGAGCATGGCTTTGTATTTATATCTTAGACTCAAGTCAACAGTTTTCTCTCTGGTCCTATCCTTGCACTTGAGCTATGTGGAGCAAGCTGAAGCCTACTCATCTACTGAGGAAGCAAAAACAATTGCAGTGATTTATAGTCAAGCAGTCCCATTTACTTGTAATGAAACGTAGGTGTTTATTACTAAGATAAAATTTAATACCTTAAACTAAAGTTTATGGTCATATCCAGGAGATCAAGCATTTTTTACATTAAATCAAGATGGCATGCCACTAAAGAGTGGCCAAAAGTAGGATTCATTTTGGAAGAAAAATGTGATGAAGGATCACTAGACCATCAGTTCTGTCTAACATTAGAAAAAGTGTCTCTCTGGAGTTTGCCTTTTCCTTGCTATACATGCCTTCAGCAGGAGTCAGTTATCAGGAGTTTTCCAGAGAGCTTGACATAAACTTAAAAACTGCCAGAATCAAAACAGATCTGTGCAAACGTACAAAAATTTTTAGTCAGTCACGTGTTCAAAACTATTAGTTAATTTCACTCTCATTATATATATATTTACGTACAATAAAAAATCCCTCCTGTTGTACAAAACAGATGTAGATTCACCTGTATAAATGTTAGCTTTATGTATGTGCTAGTATATTTGTGTACTTCTTTCTGATAAAGTTGACAGGAGAAAAAAAGAGAACAAAACTCTCTTTTTAAAGAGCCAGGCGAAAACATGTTTCTGAATATCATAATTATTTCAACCCTTATTTGTTTGAAGTGCTATTCACAAGGTTTACAGCATAATTTACATGGGAAAAAAAATGAATTGCGATTTTGCCCTCTGGAGCATATTTTCTTCACAAGTTATATATCTATAAATTGTTGAATGTAATTGAATGTGTCATCTAGTCACAATGAAGACATTGGAAATCTAAATTCAGTCTAGAAACAAAACAGGAAATCTACTAACCACCCTTCTTCATATAAGAGAGATTCCCAGATCTTTGTTAGAATATAGGCTAGATTCAGCCTCGATTTTAAGTGTTATCTTAAATATGCATTTCTACATTTCTTGTAAAAATCTTTGAAAATAATGTTGAATAGAAACATTGTCAAGGAACAAACAAATCCTTGGGGAGGGGGTGGGCATACTAACAATATTTTTCATGTGTATTAAGATGTAAGGAGTCAAACTTCAAACCACTTCATTAACACTAGAAGTGCTTAGAAACAGTAGAGTATTGCTTCTGAAGTTTTTAAAGTTTATTCAGGTTAAACAAAGATAGAGGGAATAAAAACTACAATATAGAACAGGGAAATAAGATGGCATTTCCATCTCTTCAAGAACATTCAAGCACCATGGCCAGCTGTATCATTTAGACTCTCATTTTCTTGGGTTGATGTGGCCACACTGCTGAAGAAAAGTGACTATCACAACCCATTAGATTATCACAAGTTTTGAAGATTTCATCATAAATGAAAGTGCTGTAATAAAAACCGTTTCTCTCTCCTCCCAACATAGTAGGTTTGACTAGATCACAGCTGTACTTGTTTTATTGTAATGGGCTTAAACCTGTTATGTCAGGTGAAAGAAAACAGATGATAAACTGTTGGAGCTCTGACTCTGAAAAGAACAAGACAGAGATAAAATAAGATGCTACAGAGTTCTGCCAGCTTCTGTATGTGTTACTTACACTTTCTAGTTACATGGGCAGGCAGGTACATAATTAATTTGTTCTATAAGCAGCTTTGCTCTTCAGATTTACACCGAAGTTTTGAGGAGCAGCAGTGTTAAGTCACACAGCTGAAATCCTTACACCAGACTTCTTTAATTAACTTCTCAGGAATATGCAAACTGAAATAAGGGCATTGGTAACTAGAAATGGGAAGCATTTTTGTAGATAAAAAGGTTCATAAAACATTTCTATCTAGCTGCATCACGCATGAGAGCAAGGGAGATGGTCTTCAGATCTGAGTTCATTGCTGTCCAACTCTGTCAAACTTCAGAAACATCAGTAGCAGAGAGCTGAGCTTAGTCAAAAAAAAAAAAATATTCCCTTCTAATGTATGTATATAGCTCCACTAATATTAATTAAGAAATACCTGACACCCTACAAAAATTACTTCCTCTAGTCACTGGAGTTTAACCCATAAACATCTGTTTACAGTGACAAGAACAACTCGTCAATTAGTGTTACTAGATTATGATACATGAACAGTCTCTCTATCAAATCACTACAGCTGTAGTAACTTTTGGGTTCAAGACTACACAGAATTTGACTGACCATACAATAAACCTTGCTTTCTAAACTTTTGAGCTATAAAAGAAGGAGTTTCTCTTTGTAACCTTTCTCTTTCCTACTGAATATGCTGCAAAATACTTAAAAATGAGTTATTGTATGCATTCTCAAACTGAAGTTTTTTTATGTAAATAGTCCACACAATTTATAGCATTCTTGTTTATGTAACATTCTGGCTTATTGGCATTTGTCCTATGAATATACTGTTTAGGAAATTATGCACCAAGGTTATAAAACATTGTTTTCCCAATACACTATTTAAGAAAAAAGAAAATCAGTCTTGAAAGACTTGTCTCATAAAATATTTTAAATTTAAAAACCATAGTGAATACATTCTTTCATGACGTAAGGAGCCACTAGTTATTATTGTTATTAGAGCAATGCAGATAAACATTGCAATTTTACAGCTATCCAGTGAAGTCTACATGACTTCAGCACAGACATGAATGTTATTTATATTTCAGAGTCTTTAGCGATGCTAACCACCTTGTATTGACAGCAAGAATATCATTGGCCTGAAGAAATGCTATCAGAGAGAGAAAAAGCAGGCAGTATTGAAGGCAGCTGGATGAGATAAGTGGAATTGCCTAAGCTCACCTAACGTGCCAATGAATTCTGGCGAGGCCCAAATCCAGGGTATTTTCCCTGTATACAGCTGATTCTGAGCCCTTAGTGATGTGTCATCCTGTTGATCCTGAGCCATCACGTTGATGTATAGGAGCATTTGACCCAAATAAGCAAACAAATACAAAAACACATGCAGATTCAGAGTCAAAACCATGACATTCTTGCTTGCATGGGAACCAGTAAAAGATGTTTTTGCACTTTGAGTCAGTCAAGCATATTTCCTTCAAATTAATTATGATTTTGTTGTACGTTTGTTGCAAGAACATCTTAAGTACCTGCAATAGTGTTTGAGTAGGAACACAGAGCATGTAAATATCCTTAGTAAAATACCAGATATAATTCAGAAAAAATGGTATTGAATTTGGAGTGCACTCTCTGGTTTAGAAGAGACTACCGTTTCTTCATTCACATAATGATCTTTGCTTCATCCTCAGGTCTTTCTTTGCCTGCATTCTCTCTAAAGTCTATCAAAGGCTTCAGAAAGATGAAAAGTTCCAACAGTCATGATTCCTCCAGGAGGAGACTGAGAGGAAGAAAAGGTAGATGTTTGTACAGTAACTGAAACCGAAAGTATCGAGGCATAAAGTAATAACAACAAGAGGATTCCATATCCCCAGAATAACAGGGAACTCATTTTTGCTCTGCAAGGTTGTATGAGATTTGGCCACAGCCTTTAATGTGATTGACAAAAGATGGTATTTTACCTTCCCAACACATTAAAAACACGTGTATCAGTTTTAAAAACACACAAATCATTTCCAGCAAACAGGCTAAATAATGGATGCAAAAACAGTAAATGAAGGAAGCAAAATAAGCTAAACTAAACTTTATAGTTATAAACTTAAAGCATCATTACTATATGTAAATCGTGTACTAGTTTCAAAGTTTTATCTATTTTACAGTTACTGATGCAGACATCTAAAGTATCAATGCTGTGGTACCTCCAGCTCCCATTTGTTTGTTGTTTAGTCTATACAAAGTAGCCTTGGACTCTTCCTTTAGGTGCTCAGTATGTTCCTGTAAAAATAAAATGTTCTCATTGTGACCTTTCAGTACTTAAAGGGGTCACATAAAAAAGATGGAGAAGGACTCTTTACTTGGGTAGAGAATGATAGGACAAGGGGGAATGGTCTTAAACTAAAAGAAGATAGATTTAGACTAGACATTAGGAAGAAATTCTTCACTCAGAGGGTGGCGAGGCACTGGCACAGGCTGCACAGATGCCCCATTGCTGGAGGTGTTCAAGGCCAGGCTGGATAGGGCCTTGGCCAACTGGATTTAGCAGGTGGCATCCCTGCCTATGGGAGGGGGTTGGAGTTAGATGATCTTTAAGGTGCCTTCCAACATGAGCCATTCTATGATTTTTCATTTACTCGCTCCCCTATCTAAACGCTACCAGAGATGGAAGATGTCAATTTAAATAAGGCATCTTCAGTAGTGTTTCACATTCCCCCACAGAATAGACATTTCATCATGACACTAAAGAACCCTACAGAACAACAGAGGTATTTAAATATGTAATTCTTCAGATCCTTGCTAACATATTTAAGTTGAGCAACTCTAGCAGCAATTTGAGCAATGCTAGCAGTCACATGCTGAACAGTCTTCTAAAAGTTCTTTGGCTTAAATGACACTTAAACATATGCGTAAGGCTAGAAGGAATCAGGATTTAATTAAGAGCTCAATAGACATGGAGCCAATATTTTAAAATGTATTCTGGTCCTAAGCTTCCTTCCATCACCATCCCCCTGCTCACCTCACCAAAAAAAACGTAATCCTTATGTCTGCTATTTACCAAACATTGCATTTCCCATAGCTGATGATTTATTATGTTCTCATCATGTTATTGTTTACCTCAAATTCATAAAGGAGAGCTGCCAAACAGGATTCTACCTGAAAGACCAAATTGCATGACCATGTAATAAAGGAGATATTACAGATAAGCATAGATAGAGTATTTTTTATATTGTAGAAGAGTCCCCAGAACAGAATGACTTGCATTTCCATCCAGGCTTTAGTGCTACAGTTGAGAAAGATAACTAATGTAATACAAACAGACATTAAGAGATCCTGAAGCAAGACAAAGCAAAAAAAAGAAAAAAAAAAAAAAAAAAAGGAGATTCTGCTTCACAGAATAACAATCAGCTTCTGACCAGTCATATGGGAAAAACGTTTCCCTTTGCATATCACAGCAGCAATCACAATCTGAGGGATTAGGTTTGTAGGAGGAGTGTCTTCATCTTAATTACAATCAAAGGCTCAGCCTTCTGCAGCCTGTGTGGGACAACAGCCATTTGCTTTCAAGGAGCTGGTACATGTTGCTTTTAGGCTTTTTCCTGGACTTCCTCAGTTTGTATTGATTAGTGACTCATCGCACCAAAATTGGCTAGGATTTCACATTATTTGGATATTTTAACTGTTGAGACATCCAGCTTCTTGAAACTCCAGCTTCTACACCTTGTAACAAAACAGAGCTGTCTAATTGCCCCCAGCACCTGTAAATACAATATCACAGTTGTCTACAAAATAGACAACTCTATTTTAAAATGTCACCATCAGGCTCTTTTGTAGTCTAACCAATCCATGAATTCTCATTTCTCCCTGAACCTCCAGGTTTTCTCTAACCCACACTGTGCTTGTCCCCTTGTCAACCCTGCACAGACCTGTGCCCTGCAGTGCTGGGAGGCTTGTCCAACTCCCAGCTTAGGACAGAAAGCGATGCTACGCTCTGAGCTCACCAAAAACCTCACACTAAGGCAAACCTCCCCTCCTGCAACCCTTCACATGCCTGCTTTTGCTCTTGTGGGTAAAATACATGCTTTAGCCCATATTCTTCATAAATACAAAACCTAGGATTTTTATACCTGTTTTTTATAATGGGTGTGTTATTTCTGCAAGCCACATGCCCCTTGGCCATCTCAGCTCTGCAGCGCTCCAGCTCTGCTGTTTTTAAAACCCTTCTCCCCAGCAGCCTGGTAGAAGTGGGAGGCAGGCAGGCAGACCGATAGCTATGCAGCAGGCACTGCAGAGTGGCTTTCTGCTGCCTTGTTCTGCCCAGCAGAAACATTGCCCAAGCATACTCAGAGTCTGCCTAAACAGAGAGTCACAAATAAACTTTTGATCTCATTCAAAGTCAGGCTGCCCCTGTTGTTTCTTTACTACGTAGCTTTGTGCTTTATTTGTGAATCTTTTGACTGGTGGAATGAAGCAGTGTGGTGCCTTGTCTGTTTACCTTTCAGACCTTGATAACCAAATAATCAAAATAAGAATCTTTGTTTTTTTTTTTCCCCCACAGACATCAAGAAAAATATAAATAAAGAATGATATCGCTACCAGCCCATGTATAAACAGATTTCTTAATTCCTTTTAGAGACCTAATCAGCATCAGTAAATGTTTAGCTTCCTTCCTCTAGAAGTCCTCTGTCTTAGACTGGCAACAGTATTTGCCATGTGAAACACAGCCAAGCATTTTCTTACCTTTTTAATACTTTGTCTAACCAAACAGCATTTGGGTAATATAGCTCTCTCCCAGCTGGAAAAAAACAGTTTTGGTGAACTATAAATATAGCAGCCCTTAACAGTACTTTGCATTTGAGGAGCAGTACAGGCTGTGTCTAGTAAAAGAAAGTCTTACATATCTCTCCCTCCTCAGACATGCTTCAAGTGACCGACTTTCAAGCAAGCCTCTGATGTATTTGATTCATTCATTGATTGGCAGAAATGTGAGAGAAACGTAGCCAGGTACGCCCCCATCTACATTTCTGAATAACAGCTACATTTCCAGATGATTTAAATGTTTCATTCTAATCCAAGTTAGTTGTTAGATTGAGTGTAAAGATATTAAAAAAAAAAAAAAAAAGAGAGAGAGAGAGATGAACTGCAATGCATAGAGCCAGATATAACATCTGTGTAATTTTTAAGAGCTTAGTCAAATGTAAAGAAAAAGCAAGTTATCTGTTATTCACCCAGTTATTTACAGCTGTCAGAAAGGAACATGGAGCAAAATGTATGCTTGTAAACTACTATCCTAGGGATTTATTGAAGTGCAGTGCCTTATCAGGTCTTTTGTTTGGACTGCCTAAAGACATACTAACCTTAATAACTGAGATTACAAACATGCTCAGCTTAAGTCAAGCCGTCAAGCCCCATACAAAACTACAGAGTTGTACTCCTCTTTCAAATATCTCCTTGTCCAAATTACAAAGGTAAAAATCCTCTTTTAGAGTAATCTGTTACAAGAAACAAACAAGCAAAAAACCTCTAAGGAGATGAAGGGAAGGGAAGGGAAGGGAAGGGAAGGGAAGGGATTCATTTCATGATTCCTTACAAAAACACAAACACTCCCTGTTCTAAGTTCCTCCTGGCTCTGCTCTATAACCCTGCAGACCCAGCTTTCTCAGGCTGCCCAAGAGCCATCAGTAGGGATGGGTTGAAGGTGGCTCCTCTTTTTTCGTCCCTGGGGAGAGTTTCTCTTTTAACTCTCTCCTTGTCATAACCTGCTTGTAATGGAGTTGGACCCACAGCTTGCTTAGATAAGCCGTGCACACTCCGTGTGTGCCTCCTTGCTCCAACAGAGGTGTAGACTGGCTTGACATGGCCAGTTCCCATTTCAGAGCCAGCCATGAGTGCTGTTCCTGGGACAACACATCCCCTTCCCTGACACTAGTCCAGGCATCCCCAGCACAGGCACATCTGCACCCCATCTGGGCAGGAGATGGCAGGAATCCAGAGAGCTGGAAGTGGCAGCAGAAGAATTCATGACTGTCTACACCTAAGTGCACAGACCTGTTTTAAATTTGGCTATGCCACATAGCAACTCTTCTGCATCCTAAAATCCATCCAGGACTCTAAATCCTTTATTCATCAGTGTGCAAAGATACCTCCAGCCTGTTACAATCATGGGCTTGAGCTGGCTTTCGGAAGGGTGAATAAAGCCAATTAAGGTATTTTTCCTTTCAGAAAAATAAGTTACCTGTGCCCACCTTCTCTTTTTTACCATTAACTGAGAAGCTCACATCTAATATATAAAGCACCCAGTTAAATTTATCCTTCTTCTTTCCTGATTTCCCTGATTTTGGTATCTTGGGACTGTAAGTCCCCACAAAACTCTTCTGATCTGCTCCCTCACTGTTGGAAACAACAGTGTGATCGATGACAGATCTTCAGGAGTCAGCTGAACATCTGTGTCACCAGCCATCACAAGCAATGTGTTGCAATGCTCTTTCCAAAGCCCTCTGAGCTTAGCACCAAAAGTTTATCTCACAACAGTGCTTTGTTGCTGAGCCATTGGAATTTGAGATCGAAAAGGGCTCTTCCCCTTCATATGGAGTTCTTTAGTCAATTCAAGGAAACGAGTGCAGCTCTATGGAGCAGATGCCAGGGTATATGCCCGGAGGGCAGATATAGGTTTCAATCTCTTACTCCAGTGATTATTTTTCTATTTTTTCATTGGAGCAGGCCTTGGAGATTCACTGATCCCCTTCTTCTTGGAAAATGCTCTCATCAGCTTTGCTTGGCCCCTCAGCTTCTCACTCCCATTCAGTGAAGGTTCAACTGGACCATGTACAAAGCAGCAGCTCCAACCTAGTGGGGGTGGATGGGTGGGAGATACAGGCTGAGGAGAGGTATGCTGAAAACGTAGTACCTGATGGGTCATAAGAAAAGTCATCTTGTTATGACTAGTGTGACTGGTCTTGCTTGTGAACAGAATTCCAGTTATATCTGGAATTAAGGACTGGAGCATTGGTTAAATATAAAACTATGCAATTTACAGTCCCTGAAAGTCAAATGAAATTCTTTTCAAGGTGGGTTAAAAGTCCATAGTTTTTAATAAATAGAGATGTTTGTCTTTAGAGAACTGGGCTCTTGGTAACTATATTTCTCTGCTGTTTTGGTATGCATTTAGCCTGAGGCAACTGTAGGTCTCATACAGTTCACAGCAAAGTCCCCACCACTTGTTTCCACCCAGCTGTCCCCTTGGCTGTACTGGTACAAGGGCCTGGGGGATAGGGATGATG